TAAGGTACGGAAACACGGTGAGCACGTGGGGAGAGGACAGAGTCGGACAGGAGGGGGCAGCTGAGTGTCTGGCTGGTGTTCCCTAGAGAGGAAGGAGATAAAAGCTGTGGACTGTGCTGAACCCAAGTTCCAACTGCACTGAACCCCGGTTCTGGCGAGACCCTGGGGACCAAGGCTCATACAGAGAAAATCTAGGCTGTAAGGTGGAAACTCAGGGGAGCAGTGAAAGGCAGAGCCCAGGAGGCATGCATGTGAATGCCGCGCAGAAAACAGACTGTTGACTCTGCTGCTAGATGGCCCTAACGGGAAGGAGACAAAAGCTCTGGACTGTGCTGAGCTCCAGTTCCAGGCAAGACCCTGAGGACCCAGCTCATACGGAGGGAATCTGGGCTGTAAGGCGGAAACTCAGGGGAGTGGCAAAAGTCAGAGCTCTGGAGGCGTGCATGTGAATGCACGCAGAGGACGGACTGTTGACTGTGCCGCTGGAGTGCCCAGGTGGGAAGGAGACAAAAGCTCCAGACTGCTTTGAACCCCACTTCCAACCTCATTTCTAACTGCACTGAACCCCAGTTCCGGGCACATTGGGGGAGAGACTAGACTGTCTGGTATTGGGCGAAACTCAAGAGCACCTTTCTCTCACAGGTGTTTGCAGTGAGTACTGAAGGACACTGAGACTCAAGAACCTCATAGGGCGGGTCTGATGGGAAGCCAAGGCTGTAGGCTCCACCCTGAAACTCCACCCCATCCAAGCTGAGCACAGAGGCTTTTGCAATTTTCCAAGTCTAGTCGAACAAGGTTGTCTCCCAGCATAGACACAGTCTATCCTCACAGCCAATTGGCCTGGAGGTCAGTTCCTCCCAGTGATACCAACAACAATCAAGACTTAACTACAATAAGGCTTTACACATAGTCCACAATGGGGTGCACCAAGGGTGTCCACCTCAGGTAACTGGGAGACTGACCCACTGAACCATATAGGACACCTTAGCACACAAAGCCACTCTACCAACTCAGGGAAGCAGCGAAAATGCCAAGACAAGGAAACAGATCACAAATGAAAGAAATCGAAAACAACAAGCAACTGGATATAGAGTTCAAAACCACACTTATAAGGTTTTTAAAGAATTTCTTAGAAAAGGCCGATAAAATAAACGAGACCTATGAGGATATGAAAAGGGATCAACTAGAAATAAAGAATACATTGTCTGAAATAAAAAATATACAGAGTCCTAAAAACAGAATGGAAGATCTCAAGAATCAAGTCAAAGATTTGGAACACACAGAGCCAGAGGACACTCCTCTGTGCTAAAATTTAAAAAGAAGACAAGAGAATCCAGAAAGTTGAAGATAGTGTAAGAAACCTCTGGGACAACTTCAAGCAAACCAACATCAGAATTATGGGGGTCCCAGAAGAAGAGAGAGCAAGATACCGAAAACATATTGGAAGAAATAGTGAAAGAAAACTTCCCCCACCTGGTGAAAGAATTAGACTTACAAGTCCAGGAAGTGCACAGAACCCCAAACAAAAGGAATCCAAAGAGGACCACACCAAGACACATCATAATTAAAATTCCAAGAGCAAAAAAAAAAAAATTCCAAGAGCAAAAGACACAGAATATTAAAAGCAGCAAGAGCAAAGCAGGTAGTTACCTATAAAGGAGCACCCATACGATTGTCAGCTGATTTCTCCACAGAAACCATGCAGGCCAGACAGGAATGGCAAGAAATATTCTAGGTGATGAATAACAAGAACTTACAGCCAAAAATACTCTACCCAGCAAAGCTATCACTCAGAATCGAAGGCCAGTAAAAGAGCTTCACAAAAAAAAAAAGCTAAAGGAGTTCATCACCGCCAAACCAGAATTATATGAATTGCTGAAGGGGGTTCTTTAGGAAGAAGAAGAAAATAAAGATTAAAAATTATGGACAACAAATACATAACTATCAACAAGTGAATCCAGAAACCAAGGGAATTAAAAAATCTGATGAACAATATTAACTGGTGAATATAATAGAAACAGGTATGGAAAGGGAGTAGACTGACGATTCTTGGGGAAAAGGGTAGTGGGGGTTGTGGGAAGAGACTGAACATAAACTGTGCACCTATGGATGAGGACAATGGGGAGTGGGGAAAGGGCAGAGGATGGGGTGGGAACCTGATGGAGGGGAGCAATGGAGGGGGAAAAATAAGGAACATTTGTAATAATATGAACAATAAAGATTTATTAAAAAATAATTAAAATAATAAAATTTTTAAATTTTAGCACAGTCAGCTTCAAAGATAAAACATGATGAAAAGCAATCCAAAGACAAAACAGATTTTGTTCATCCTTCATAGTGGAGTGTTCCATGTAACCACAGAGATTCTAATGATTTGGTCTTACTGGTTCTTAGGAGTCACTATTTTAAAGTTTCCAATGTGGCTCTGGATGGTTTGGCTCAGTGGATAAAGTATCAGCCTGAGGAATGAAGGATCCTGGGTTTGATTGTGGTCAAGGGCACCTGCTTGAGTTGTGGGCTCAATAGATAGGAGGCAGTCAGTCGATCAATGATTCTCTCTCCTCATTGATATTTCTATGTCTCTCTGTCCTTCCTCTCCAAAATCAATAAAAATCAATAAATAAAAGTTTCTAACATGCTAGAAAACTGCCAATGTTTCCCAAACCCAGCTACGCAGAATAGGATAATGGATCTCAAACTTTCCTGTGTGTTCTAATCACCTGGAGAACTTACTTAACTGCAGGTTGTAATTCAGTAAGACTAAGCTGAATCAAGGCTCTGCATTTCTTTTTTTTAAATTTATTTATTGATTAAGGTATCATATATTTGTCCTCAACCCTCCATTCCAATCACCCTCCCCTCCCCACTCATGTCCCTACCCCCCTATTGTCCTTGACTACTGGTTAGTCTCATATGTATGCACATAAGTTCTTTGGTTGATCTCTCCCTTTTATCCCCACCCTCCCTTTGAGGTCCAACAGTCTGACCCATGGCTCCTTATCTCTGGGTCTGTTCTTGTTCATCAGTCTATGTTGTTCACCATTTCCCCTAGATGAGTGAGATCATGTCCTACTGGAAATATACTTATAAGAATCAAAAATGAGATAAGCAATAATGGTTATGCTGAAAGGCATATGAATCAATCTGTAGTGAGTTTCTTTCTGGGCCAACAGTTCTTTTGAGACCCAATTTCAATGTCAAACAGTTCCTTATGTAAAAATGATATTTCAGTTCTGGATGTGGACAAATGGTGGTAATGCAGGTCCAACCCTCTCTGGTTTGGTCCTGGGCAACCTGCAGTGATACACAGCTGCTGACTGCTATTATGGCAAGGCGTCGTCAGCGTCTTCCATCTCTGGACTGCTTCTCTTCTGTCTTCATGGTTGGCGTAGTCCAGTCAATTCCTCTCTGTTGCCGGAATCCACATGGTCTCGGAGTTGTTTTCTGAAAATATACAAACATATTCTTGACCAAAAGTTAATAAAGGAACATTTTTTATAAAATTTTCTTGGGATCCTTTTTTGATTTTTGCCCAAATGATTTTTCTCTGGCTTGTTTTGACACCATTAAAAAAAAAAAATCTGCTACAGACCTGGTGCACCAGTGCACCAAAACCGGCTCTCCGACATCCCCCAAGGGGTCCTGGATAGTGAGAGGGTGCAGGCCAGGCCAAGGGACCCCATCAGTGCATGATCAGGGCCAGGGAGAGATGCTGGAGTTTGGCCAGCCAGGGAGGGGCTGTGGGAGGGCTCCAGGGCTTATCCAGCCTGTCTTGCTCAGTCCCTTCAGCCAGACCCCAGGGGCAAGCCTACCAGTTGGAGCATCTGCCCCCTGGTGGTTACTGCATATCATAGCAAGTAGTTGAGTGGTCTTAGCATATCATTAGCATATTGCACTTTGATTGGTTGAACAAACAACCAGACGATCAGACATTTAGCATATTAGGCTTTTATTATATAGGATATTTTTATTGATTTCAGAGAGGAGAGGGAGATGGAAACATCAATGATGAGAATCATTGATCAGCTGCCTCCTACACGCCCCACACAGGGAATTGAGCCTGCAACCCAGGCATGTGCCCCAACTGGGAATTGAACCATGACCTCCTGGTTCATAGGTCAATGCTCAACCATTGAGCCACACCAGTCTGGTTTCATTTTTTCTTTATTAATTATTACATATGTATCCTTATCCCACCTTGGGCTGCATTTTAACAGGTTTTCTAAGTTGTTTCTGATTCTCAGGTGGATTTCAGAATTCCTGGAATAAATGAATAATATTAAAACTAAATTGAATTAAAACCTGGGTGTTAACCCTGGTTTTGTCATTAACTCCTGTATGACCTTAGACAATTTCCTCCCTCTGAATGTCTCATTTTCTTCATCAATTAAAGGATAGAGCCGAAACTGGTTTGGCTCAGTGGATAGAGCGTCAGCCTGCAGACTGAGGGGTCCCAGATTCGATTCCTGTCAAAGGCATGTACCTTGGTTGTGAGCACATCCCCAGTGATCGATGTTTCTCTCTCATTGATGTTTCTAATTCTCTATTCCTCTTTCTTCCTCTCTGTAAAATATCAATAAAATATATATTTTTAAAAATCAATAAAATTGCCGAAACTGGTTTGGCTTAGTGGTAGAGCGTCAGTCTGCGAACTGAAAGGTCTCAGGTTCGATTCTGGTCAAGGGCATGTACATTGGTTGCGGGCACATCCCCTGTGGGGGGTGTGCAAGAGGCAGCTGGTCGATGTTTCTCTCTCATCGACGTTTCTAGCTCTCTCTCTCCCTTCCCTCTGTAAAAAATCAATTAAAATATATTTTTTTAAAATCAATAAAATATATTTTTTTAAAATGGAGCAGTTGATTTCTTTGGCACTTCTAAACTCTTATTTTTGGGAACTCCCACAAGAAATCAATGGCCATCAGCGGCCTGCGAGTGAGAACTACAATCCCCACAATGCTCTGCACTTCTCCGCGCTCACGTGGGGTCGTGGAGAGGTAACCCTATTGGAGGCGCTCCCACAACCCTTTGCGGTGGTTCAAGATGACGGCGCCCAGAGGTTCCACGAGCAACGTGGAGAGCAGCAGCGGCAGCAGTGACGCCGAGGAGCTGGCGCGGTGCCGCGCGGCGGCGGTGCCGGCCTGGGGCCTGGAGCAGCGCCCGGAGGCGCCGGAGAAGCGAAGAGCCGGTAGGGACCGTGTTCGAGCAGCCTGGCCGAGGGGCGGAGGGTCTTCCCCGGGGGCTGAGGGAGGATGGTGAGGGACTCCACTTCTTTCCCGAGAGAGCTCCGGGACCGGAAGCGGGTTGTTTCATTATCCCATTCAGGGAAACGGAGGCACCAGAGTGCCTCTTGGCTCGGCTCCCGTGGGCGTCACACGGGGAGCCCGCCGCCTCGGAAATGACTGCGTCGGCCGCTGATGGATTCTCGCATCCACCCTTCCTCCGCCCGCAGCACCTTCCCACCGGGGCTGCGGGGAGCCGAGTCCAGTGCTAACTCTGACCGGACTCCCTGGCCTCGCGGGAGTAAGTCCAAAACTCATCGTAGCGGTGCCTCATCACAACCCAGAGTACATGGATGTGGAATGGGGAGACATTTCCTCCGTACTCTCATTAACCTCTGAAGTTTAGCATCCCTCCCCATACTCCTTTCCTGTGCGCCACAAGCCACGAGTAGCTTTGACAACACCTGGCACTTTGCCCTGGCAAAAGTCACGGATTTTCTTACCCCATTACAGTCTTTGCAGATAAATGTTGGAAAAAGTAATTTACATTCATTCCAACTTTAAAGTAACAATTTTTTTTAAAATATATTTTATTGAGTTTTTACAGAGAGGAAGAGAGAGGGGTAGAAAGCTAGAAACATCGATGAGAGAGAAATATCAATCAGCTGCCTCCTGCACACCCCACACTGGGGATGTCCCCACAACCAATGCACTTGCCCTTGACTGGAATCGAACCTGGGACCTTTCAGTCCCTAGGCCGATGCGCTGTCCACTGAGCCAAACACGTTTCGGCTACAATAATTTTTAGACCCGAAAGAATCTCTAGCCCAGCTGGTGTGGCTCAGTGGTTGATCTTCCTTTCACCTATGAACCAGGAGGTCACAGTTCTATTCCAGGTCAGGGCACATGGGGGTTTGCAGACTCGATTCCCAGTAGGGGGCATGCTGGAGCAGCCTATCAATGATTCTCAACATTGATGTTTCTATCTCTCCCCTCTCAAATCAGTTTAAAAAATACATATTTTAAAAAGAATCTCTAGATCTTGTTTAATGCATTAAAAAGGAAGCACACATATTAGTATGCCAGGATTGCAGTTTTACTGTTATGATAACTGAATTTCAACATACGTAATTGTGTGTGTGTGTTTTTGTAGTCCTGTTTGTGTATGTGTTTTTAAATATATTTTTATTGATTTCAGAGAGGAGAGAGAGAGAGAGAGAGAACATCAGTGATGAGAGAGAATCATTGATCAGCTGCCTCCTGCACCCCCCTATTGAGAATGTAGCCAGCAACCTGGGCATGTGCCCTTGGCCAGAATTGAATCTGGGACCTTTAGTTTCTAGACCAAGGCTCTATCCACTGAACCAAACCAGCTAGGGCCTGTGTGTGTGTGTGTGTGTGTGTGTGTGTGTGTGTGTGTGTGTTATGTGTTTTGTTTTTTTAATTTAAAACATTATTCTGAGAAGGGATCCAACCTATACAGACTGCCAGAGCAGGCCATGGTAAAGCATGGTTTAAAACCTACTTTTGCCCAGCTGGCATGGCTGTGTTAAGCGTAAACCAGGAGGTCACGGTTCAATTCCCCATTAGGGCACATACCCAGGTTTTGGGCTTTATCCCCAGTGTGAGGTGTACAGGAGGCAGCCAAGTGATTCTCTTTCATCAATGATATTTCTATCTCTCCCTCTCCCTTCCTCTCTGAAATCAATAAAAATATATTTTAAAATAAAATAAAATAAATAAAACCCCTGCTTTTGCCTTAGCTGGTTTGGCTCAGTGGATAGAGGGTCGGCCTGCGGACTGAAGGGTCTTGGGTTCAATTCCGGTCAAGGTCACATGCCTCTGCCTCTACCAATTGATGTGTTCATCTCTGCTTCTCCCCCTCCTTCCATTCTCTAAAAATCAGTGGAAAAATATCCTTGGGTGAGGAGTAAAAATAAAATAAAAATAAAACCTCTGCTTTTGTTTAAAAGGACTTATAAGCCCTTTTGTAATCTATTCCCTGCCAGTTTCTCCTTTCTTGCTGTCCTGCCACACTGCACTTCCCATAGGTAGGCTTCTTAACCGCCTTCCCCTGTTATATTTTCCTTCCCCACACTTATTATTTATTATATATATATAGAGAGAGAAATATCAATACTTGTGGGGTTTTTGTGTCATCTGCCAAGTGGAGATAATGGTGATTCCTGTAATGGGATTGTTGGGAAGAGTCAATGAGTTATAAATGTAAGTCACTTAACATCATGAGTGGCATACAAAGGATATATTACTGTCATTTCCTCTATAAATACCTCAATTTTCATTATTTTCACAGATGCTACAAATAATCAGTTGCCAACTGCCCAGCCGAGCCTCAGGTATTGCGCACTTTGGGTCCAGGTTTATACATTCATTAACAAATATTTCCCCTGCTGTATGTCAGTGCTGGGTTAAGTCAAGGGATAACAGGGTGAACGAGACACATGTAGTCCCTGCCCTCGTAGGGGTAGCTGCTAAGCTGGCAGAAAGTGAGGTTTCATGTGTGTGTTGTAGGCATAAGGTGGATGAGCACGAACAAGATGGCAATGAGCTTCAGACCACCCCCGAATTCCGGGCCTACGTGGCCAAGAAGCTGGGAGACCTGCTGGACAGGTAACCAAAAGCATACCTTCTCTCCCCCCACCCTCAGTCATTGGAACAGTAAGGCTCATATGGGCTGGGAGCTCACCGCGAAAAGCCAACCCCGTGGCAAGCATGTGGCATATGTCACCTCACTGCATTCCAAGCCACCTGGCCACGCAGGTCCTGTCATTCTCTAGATGAGGAGACAGAGGCTCTTTGTGAGAAGCAGCATCTGCTGGTGTCACAGAGAGGAAGGAGCAGATCTGGGACTCAAACCCAGGTGTGTTTGCTTTTTTTTTTTAATAAGTTTTTAAAAAAATATATATTGATTTTTAAGAGAGAAAGGGAGAGAGATAGAGAGTTAGAAATGTCGATGAGAGAGAAACATCGACTAGCTGCCTCTTGCACACCCCCTACGGGGGATGTGCCCACAACCAAGGTACATGCCCTTGACCGGAATTGAACCCGGGACCTTTCAGTCCGCAGACCGACGCTCTACCACTGAGCCAAACCGGCTTCGGCTTAAATAAATTTTTATTGATTCCAGAGAGGAAGGGGTTGGGTTTGGAGGAGAGAGAGAGAGGAAGAGAAAGAAAGAAACAGAAACATCAATAATGAGAATCATTGATTGGCTGCCTCCTTCACACCCCCTACTGGGGATCAAGCCGGTAACCTGGCATGTGCCCTTGACCGGAATTAAACCTGGGACCTTCAGTCCGCAGGCTGACACTCTGTCTACTGAGTCAGACCAGCCAGTGCCAAAGGCCTTGCTCTTAAGCTCTGTGTTGTCCGGCTCCCATGGGATAAGAGGCACCGCAGAAGCAAGAGCCCATTCACAAAAGGGCAAGGGACAGACCATTACTGTGTGGGCCCGCTCTGTATGTCAGGCCCTGTGCCAGGTCTTTCTTATATTTGAGAATATCAGTAAAAGCATAAGCGACCGTTAAGACCAAACGACCAGTCAACCTGTCCTTATGATGCGCACTGACCACCAGGGAGCAGATGATCAACGCAGGAGCTGCCTCCGGTGGTCAGTGCGCTCCCACACCCAACCTCCCACGGCCAGCCAACCTCCTGGGGTCCCTCCCCCTGTCCAGCAGATTCCATCTGGCAGCCAGTAGGCTCCGGCCAGAAACTGGCAAGCCCCGGCAGGCTCGGCCCCAATTAGGCCTGGGCAAGACAGCCCCGTTAGGCTCTGATTGCCAGCCGGGCCTAGGAACCCCACCCGTGCATGAATTTTGTGCACCAGGCCGCCAGTAATTCATAAAGATCTAAGTCAGCATTTCTAAAATAGGCACCAAGGAATACTAGTCCAAAGTGTGACTAGGAAAAAAGGGTCTGACCACAAAGAAAGTGAGCAACCCTGGAGCCTGCACACTCCCTGTGCCCTCGCAGTAAACCCACCCGTGTAACTGCTCACCCAGGAGTTTTCGGCTCATTTGGCTGCATTGCCTTCGTTTCGTGGACGACTGATAATATAACATGGACATGGTCTAGATCCATTCCTGATTGACAGCAGGTTTTGAAAGGGAGGTGAGGATGTTAAGCCAGAGTCTTTCATTTTGAAGTAGGCACCAAAAAGAACAAGTGAGCCCTCTCCAAGTATAAGCCAACTGCTCTTCCGAGACAGAATGTTGGACCACAGCTCAGCAATCTGAACCCCCCTGACACAGGAACTGGAGAAAGTAGGAAACAGGAAGGTCAGCTGGCACTGCAGCCTGTGAGAGCAGTGTGTCTGTGACTGTTTGTCTTCAGGGTGTTCAGGGCCCACCTGGCGCTATGGAAAGCCCCAGGGAAACCCAGCAGGATGCTGGTCAGACCGTGTCAGGATATTCCCCGGGGAGTTTTTGTTTTTCCCGTGTGTGAGATCCAGGTTTCTCGGCCTTGGCCGTATTGACCTTTGGCCTGGTAATTCCTGTTGTGGGACTGTCCTGTGCATTGTAGGGTGGTAACAGCATGCCTGGCCCCACCACTAGGTCCTAGTAGCATTCCCCCAGCAGTTATGACAACCAGAAATGTCTACAGACATTGTCTGATACTCCAAGGGACCAGCATCGAGCCATTTTGTTAAGATACAGGGTCAGTCAGGCATGGGTGGCATCGTCTCCATTTCCTCTTCCCAGCGGAGGTCCTGGGGCTGGGTGTGTGGAAGGCGGTTAGGAGAAAGCACCGCACAGTGCACGGTGACCTCTGCGTTCACCAGGGACCGGCATCCTGGTCTCCCAGCTCTCCCTGCTCTGACTCTGGGAGAGGGCTTATTTTTGTTAGACGGCCTGTGAAACTTACTGCTTATCGTGATGACAGTGATTGTCGTCATTGGTGCCATGCACTGAGCTGCCGCTTGTGGCCAGGCTCTGTGCTAAGGGCTTGATATCCACTATCTCATTTGCTCCCGTGGCAGTCCTATGGGGGCAGGGCGCCCAGTGTACAGATGGGTAACAGGCTTAGAGAGATGAAGTCACTTGCCAAAACGGACACAACTAGTAAGTGACAAAGCCAGGATTCAAAACCCAGGTCTGAAGTCTCAAGAAGGCCAATGGATTCTATCAATGTCCGTTTCTTGGTTGTGATATTGAACTGCAGTTACGCACATGTTACCACAGGGAAAAACTGGGTGAAGAGTACATGGAATCTTGCCCTGGCCAATGTTGGTAAGTGGTTAATGTACCAGACTGAGCACTGAAGGGTCATGGTTTTGATTCCCGGTCAAGTGCACATACCTGGGTTGCAGGTTCTATCCCCAGTCCTGGTCAGGGCTTGTGCAGGAGGCAGCCAATCAATGTGACTCTCTCATTGATGTTTCTCTCCCTCCCTTTCTCTCCCCACCTCCCTGCTTTCCTTCCTTCCTCTCCTCCTTTCTCCTCTTTTCTCCCTCTCCCTTCTACTCTCTCTAAAAATCAATGGAAAAAATATCCTCTGGTGAGGATTAACAAACAAAAATAAATGAAAGGGTATATGGAATCTCTCTGTATTCTTGCTTGTAACTGCTTATCAATTTACAGTTATCTCAAAAAAAGTTTTTAATCAAAATTGAAAAAGACAACAACAAAAAGTAAGTGTTATAGGACTTCTTCACTGCGCTTTGGCTATTTCTGTCTCTCCGGTGTTTATTTTCTCTTATTCCTGTTTGAAATTGTATTTATTTTGTTGTACTATGAATATCTTAAAAATCCTCAGCGTTTTCTGGGATAAAGTGGGGTTTAAACAAAGGAAGCCCTGCGGTTTGAGCTGGCAGGAGCTGCTCAGCAGTTACAGCTGTGGGTGTTAGCATTCTTTTTCTTCTTCTTTTCTTTTTTTACATTTTACTGATGTTTTACAGATAGGAAGGGAGAGAGGGGGATAGAGAGCTAGAAACATCGATGAGAGAGAAACATCGACCAGCTGCCTCCTGCACATCCCCCACTGGGGATGTGCCCGCAACCAATGTACATGCCCTTGACCAGAATCGAACCTGGGACCTTTCAGTCCACAGACCGACGCTCTATCCACTGAGCCAAACCGGTTTCGGCGGTGTTAGCATTCTTCAGGCCAATGTGCCGTCTGCTTTTGCATTTAAGACTGCATGCCCCATCCCCTACACTTAAAAAGAATGGTGTTAATTTTTTGGAAAAGATTTTGTAGGTACTTAAAATTTTATGCTAAATCAAGCATCTCCTCTTTCCTTAGCTCCATTACCATCTCAGAAGCTGTGAAGGAACCAGCAAAGGCTGAGGCACAGAAAGCCACCCCAGAGGATGATGGTGAGTAGTCATCTTCTCTTTCTCTCTCTAAAAGGCTAATGTGCAAAGTGTCCCCTTAGGAGCTGGACTGTGAGACCGGGAGGTCCATTACTCGCTATGACGTGTGCTGACCACCAGGGGGTGGCGTGGAATGAAGGAAGGCCCCACTGGCAGCCAGAAGGCTCTGATCAGCCCTGATTGCCGGCTTGGCCTAAGGACCCTACCCATGCACGAATTTCATGCACCAGGCCTCTAGTCCTGTTAATACCTGCTGTCCTTTGGTAAGCATCTCCTGTGTGTCTGGAGCTAGGAAATAGTGTTGGTGTATTACCTCTGTCATCCGTGCAGCCTGCTGTGAGGCAGGTTGACACCCCCATTACGGGGGACTGTAAGGGAGGCCGAGGCTCTCAGGAATGAAGGCACTCGCCTGAGGTGACCACGTCTGTCTAACCCTGAGCAGAGCTCCCACCACACACTGCACAGCCTCTCCCGTCTGAGCGTGTCTGTTCCGTCAGGCTCATGGCTACTTTGGAAGCTGCCTCAGGCAGGAGGCTCAACTGCTGACTCCCAAAAGCCGCGAGGGCGTGCCGGCCTGCTTGGCACCTCAGTACCCCGTCCCCCGGCTCCAGCGTCGTCAGCATGCCCCTCCGCGCATGTGGCGGCATTTTGTGGTTAGACAGGAGCGCCTCCTGGGCCTTTGCCTCCGGACCAGGCGCTCCTGAGGGCAGAGGCGCCTGGGAGGAGAGGGGCCTGGCAGTGCTGACTCTGCCCCTGTGGGTTTTAGGCTTCCGCCTCTTCTTCACCTCCGTCCCCGAAGGCCCCGAGGGGAAAGCTGCTCCCCGGCCCCGCCGCCGAAAGCGCCTGCCTTCCCGCTCCAGGTGAGGCGCACACCCTCCCCCCAACGCCCCTCGGCTCTGCCCACTTTCCGCGCTGGCCAGTGTCTCAGGAGAGCCGGGCAGGTGGGTGTGGTCCCGGCCCAGAGGAGCCCTGTGAGGCAGCTGGAGAACCGGGGCGCTCCGGGGGAGGGAGGACACTCCGCGGGGCTGGCTCTGGAGGCTGCTGCTCTCTGAGCAGCCCTGTTGTGCCAGACGCTCACTCCTTGGACATCCTAGTGAGGCCTGGGCTCAGCGAAGATCCCGTTTTATAGATGAAGACGTGAGGGTCAGAGAGGTTGCCTGATGAGATCACACAGCTAGGAAGCAGAGAGGCAGGAACCCTGGTCTGCCTCACACCCAGCGCCTGGGCTCTCTCTGCCCCCCACCCCGTGGGCGCTTTCGGGGGCAGCTTTGGGGCCCAGTCCCAACCCCAGCTGACCCAGTCTGCCCTCCCCCGCAGCAGTGAGGACAGTGAGGAGGAGTGGCAGCGGTGCCAGGAGGCAGCTGTGGCCGCCTCTGCCATTCTGCGGGAGTCCGCCATCCATGGTCCTGTCCAGGTGGAGAAAGAAGCGAAGAAGAAGAAAGGGAAGTTGAAAAAGAAAGCCAGGAAGGAGGCCAGCACGGACTTGACCGCCGCCACCATCACCGGCACGGCCACCGCCAGGAAGCAGGAAGAGGAGTCCGCCACGCTCCACGGAGACCTTGTGTCACCTGGGAGCAAAAAGAAGAAACGGAAGAAGAAGGCCAAGAAGGCCACTGAGGCTTCCCCACTCCCGCCATCGAAGAGCGCAGCAGCCGCGCCTGCGCACTGACCAGGTGCCGGCGGGGCCCAACCGGCCCCAGGACGCGGTGCCCCCTGGGACGGGCATTTCCCGGCGCTGCCGCCCTCCACGTCAGGGACTTGGCTGCACGTCCAGACTCTGCCCATGACTGGGTTTGCCCACGAGTCGGGGAAAGCCTTGGTTGTGGAGTGAGAAGCCTGAGTAAGGCCGCCCTCCTGTGCTCCCTGGGCGCCGGGCAGACTGTGGAACCAGGACGTCTGTGGAGCCGTCCAGTCAGTCAAGGCTGACAGCCGAGTGGTGGCGCTCCCATCTCCCCAGGGCTGTCAGGGAGGTGCGTGAGGGGAGACCGCACCCCATCCTCAGCCTGCTGTGGGAGACAGCCTGAAGAAAATGCGGGAAGAGGTCCTTGAGGTGTCAATGCCCAAAGTGCCATGTAGACTGGATAGAACTGTCTGAGAAAGGAGAGATCTCCCTCCTCATTTTCCAGAACTTTCTACATTTGGGAACATAACCACACACGATCATCTCCCAACCAGATTGTGGAAAAGTAAGGGTCAGACCCAGCACGTAACTAAGTGATGGGGTGCTGCCTCCAGCAGTGCTGAATCCTGATGAGACATTTTAAATCGGCACCATAGGAGGGTCCCTGCCCGGCCGCGGCTTATGGGCGTGTCACGGGCCTGGTGGACTGGCTTCGCTGGGCTTCGTGCACGAGGCCTATTCAAGGAGCAGAAGGCCAAGGTGAAGGTAACATTCTGGCATCGTAGATTCAGCAGAGCAAGAACGACAGGTGGCCCCTGAGAGTCTGTGTGTGCTGGACCCCTCTCTCCTCCGGCCCCTGGCCCACCTCCGCCCCTCTGCCTGCCCAACCCCATCTGGGCAATGAAGGACAAGTAAGGAGTTTCCAGTACGTTCCTCGTTTACTTTATTAAAAGTTAAATAATGTACAGGCTCGTCCTTAGCTGGCTGCCAGCTGCAGGGGAGGAGGCTCTTCATGGTCCCAGGATGGAGGTGGTCAAAGCAGCGGTCACCAGCTGGTGGCTCTTGGACCACTAGTGGTCTGTGAGGTCTGAAAGGTTGGTGACCGCTGGTCTACAGGGCTCGGTTCTCACATTAGAGGGGAGGACGCAGGAGCCCCAGTGACGGCACCTTGTTCCTCGGGTGGGACTCGGCTCTTTGGGGCTGCGTCTGCCTGGACCGCCTCGTCTCTCAGGCCACAGGCTCCCAGGCCTCAGTCTTGTCCACACAGGGGACTCCTCTCTGCTGGCTTCGTCTCTCTCCTCTCCCTCTGGGCACCTCTGTTCTGCCAGCTGCTCAGGCCTCTGCCTTCTGAGCTCGGCAGCTTCTCGAACCAGGGAAGGGTCTGCAGGCCCCAGAGGCCCCGGGAGCTGCTGCCCAGGACTTAGCACCAGGCCCAGAGTCGCAGGCTCCCACAGAACAAGGACACTTGCTAGCCTTGAGGGAGGGGGGGCTTTTCAGCAGAGGCAAGACAGCAGGCTGGCACAGAAGGCATGCTGCAAGGGGACAAGTGTCCCAGGAAAGGCGCTCCCAGGGTCCCGGGAGAGGGAAGTGGAGAGCCCTGGTGCCTTCAGTTCGCTTCCTCGAGGGCTTGGGCGCTGAGCTCCAGGCCTGGGCAGATCAGCCCCTGGGAATGCTCTCTGAGGGGGCTGGGCGGGAACGGCGAGCCTTGGGTTAATAGCAGGAAGAGGGCAGGGTGGAGTGGCCTGGACAGGGCCTCGGGACAGGATGGTCTGAGGCCTCTCAGAGCCCAGTGAGGCACAGCTGCACGGCTTTGTCCTGAGCGGGGACTGCAGCTCCTGTGGGAGTGCTGGGCTCTCCAGAGGCCCAGGCTGGCTGTACTGGGGTCCAGAGTCTGTCCCCTTCTTTTCGAAGTGACAAGGTTTACCAGGAGCAGCAGGGACAGGCCCTCCTGTCCTGCCAGGAGCAGGCTCTGCCTCCCAGCTCTCCACAGCGCCCCCTTGTGCACTGAGCAGTCCTCCCTCTGACACTGCAGCTCTGTAGAAGCAGATGTTTGCAGGCTCATGCCCTGGTCACCCCCCAAGTCGCTGTGCAGGCTTCAGGTGCCAGCCCCTGGGAGGTGGTTGCCATGGTTACTGGGAAGAAGAGGCCATCTGCGTGGAGATGAAGGTCTCGATGACGCTGTGGTTGGATGGCAGCAGGTGGCTGTGGCCATTGGTGTTTTCGGAGCTCTGGTACAACACCAGGCTGCTGGAGGACACTGCGGAGGCAAAGGGAGCTGCTGGCTGCCCACCAAGCTGATCCCGCCCCCGCCCACTCCTCCCTGGAGGCACTGGGGTGGAGGAGGTGGGACCTTGTCATTAACGCTCAGGGAGCGGCCTCAGCATTTTAGTGGAAATGTTAGACATGTGAGGTGGTTAATGTTGTGTGTCAGCTTGGCCAGGCTGTAGTGTCCAGTCCCTCCAACATCTGCCCCATTACCCCCAGCTCACAGTTTGCCCTATCGGGGGTGGGGAGCCGTTTTTGTGCTCGGGGTCGTTTGGATATAACACTCGTGGGCCACACACAATTAACAACTTAAAAGCCAGCCTGCTATACTTGGCCAGATGTTTAACTCGCGCCTAGCGCCCTGGCAGGGCCAGCCAAATGGCGTGACGGCCCTATCCAGCTGCAGCCGGTCATTCCCACCCCGTGCACACGCCCGCAGGGAGAGGCTCACCGGGGGGGCTGGCGCTGAGCTGGTGGGAAGGCTGCAGGTGCTGGATGCCGGCGGGGTCCTGGCTGGGGATGTGGATGGCGGAGGCCTGAGACGCCGGCGTGTGGAGCCCAGACTCGCCGGAGGCCTCGGCGTCTGAGATGAAGACCTGGAGGACAGAGCCGCCTTCTGAGCCTCAGGGTGTCCTCTGAGGAGGGGCCCGCGGGGTGCGGGGTAGCCCGGGGCCTTACCTGCTTGGTGGGCGTGAGGCTGGCCAGGGCGCTCAGGTTGGTGGTGTCGGTGATGAGCATGGTCTGCAGGCCGGTGTGGGTGTACTGGGCCACCTCAGGCTTGTGGCTGTAAAGGGCTGCCAGGAGGGAGGAGACAGAGAGGGTTCAGACGTGGCCCCCTCCCAGGAGGGCCTCAGGGCTGGGTGCTCTGGGGAATTGGGGGTGAGGCCTGGGAAATGGCCTGGTGGGGCAGTGGGTGGAGACTCAGGGCTGATTTCCAAAATGGAGCTCCACGTAGAGGGTTTGGATGCCCTCCCCAACTACCGGGCCTGCTCAGCCCCTGAGAGAAGCCGGGAAAGTCCAGGACCCACACCAGCTCCGCCCGTCACCTGAGATGGCAGGTGTGAAAGGGAGCAGGAGGCTAAACAGGCCTCAGAGGGAAAGGCCTCGCCCCTGTGCACGGGCTGCAGGCGGGGGGCAGCCATGTCCGTGCCAGGGTGCCTCTGAGCGTAATCCAGATGTCACCTCATAGCCACCCACAGGCACAGGAGAAAACTCACTCCCCCTTGACAGATAAAACCACAGCACCCACATAACAAACGCATGCACTCAATCATGCACACAGCCCTTTACCCCCAAGTCCTAGTTCGTAAGGTTGGCGCTTTGGTGGCACAATCTGACCTGAGCCTGAAGTGAGGTTATTTAAGTCTATTTTTATTATTACTTTTGAAATGTGTTTTTATTGATTTCAGAGAGGAAGGGAGAGGGGGAGAGAGAGAAACATCAATGATGAGAATAATTGATCTGCTGCCTCCTGCACACCCTTACTGAGGATCAAGCCCACACCCCAGGCATGTGCCCTTGACTGGAATTGAACCTGGACCCTCAGTCCTCAGGCCAACGCTCTATCCACTGAGCCAAACCAGCTAGGGCTTTATTAATCTACTTGGTGAGATTCTACTTTTTTGCTGCAGAAATCGTAGGGCTTGGTGACAGTGTTAACCCCAAATGCTGCTGGGAGAGTTTTGTAACCTATAGTATGGTCCCTATATTAACCTTTGAGAATCTGAAAATAGTTAATTCTGAAAGACGTATGGCCCCAAAGGTTTGGAGAAAGACTGGCCTGTGTACCCACATGTGGGCATACCCCTAAATACTGATGAACACCTAGATGTGTTTCCACTCGCACAGCACACACATGGCCACACGTATTCACATGGAAACACATTCTGGCCCCAGACACTCTCCGGAGCCCCCGCAGAGCCCCCCCCATCACAAACACACTTGTACCAACACACACACAGGCCGCAGTATCTGTGAGTCCCCTCCGCCGTGCTCACCGTGGGGGCTCTGCAGCTGCGCCATGGTGGCCATGAAGGGGTTCTGGGCCATGTGGCTCTGCACAGGAGACACGAGCGGCTGCTGGTAGGAGGGGTGCAGCGGCTGGGAGAACTGCACCGGCTGCAGGGTGGCCAGGCTGCTGCCCATGCTGTTGATGACAGGCACACTCTGTGCCTGTGTGGAGGCCAAGCCTGGAGCGGGAGGGGCAGGAGTCAGCCAGGCCACCACGTCCACTGCCTCCCGGGCCCCTGGGGCACCATCCCCACTGCCTCCCGGGGTGCTGGGGGGTGGGGGGGCGGACAGGAAATCCCTTTGCCCTAGGGCCTGTCACTAACTCATGGCCCTGGCAAGTCACCCCCTCCTCTGAGCCTCTGGCTCATTACATGGGCGGGAGGTGGGTCTAATGGGTTCCCTGGAGCCCTGGGTTCCGTGCAGTCGAGGCCCTGGGCTTAGGTCTGCGTTCCTCTCCCATCAGCTCCCATCTGCCTTTTAATAGTTCCTGTAAGTGAGGTCCTCCGGGCTTTAAAGAAAAGCCTAAAGCCTAGAACACATGGGTCCCCCCCTGCCGCTCCGTCTTCCCCACGGCCTACGTGGCTTAGGCATCGCTTACCGCCTGCCCCCCCACCTGAGCCGCCGAGGCTGGGCCGCCGGTTACGTGTGCATCACGTGCAGCGCAGAGCGGCGCAGAGCAGGCAGTGAGTACGAATGAGAGCCGTGGTCCCCGAGGCCCTTGGGCTGCGCCCCCCCTCCAGCTTACCAATGACCAGGGTGGAGGCGCCGGTGTTGGTGAACGTGGAGCCCAGGGAGGCAGGCTCCCCGGGCCCGATGGTCATGACCCCGGGGAGCGAGGCCATGATGAGGTTCTGGGGCTGCTGGCCGAGGCCTGGGGACGTCTGCTCCAAGCTGTGCAGCGCTGTCAGCGTGCTGACCGGGGGCAGAGGACCCCCGGTTGCTGAGACCTTGGAGGGGAAACCAAGCTAAGTGAGGACTGCTTTTCCCCACCGAGGGAAGATGGGGTTGGGGGTCTCACCCACCTGAGGGTGGGGTAGGGGGACACTCACCAGCTTGGCTTCCGTGCTCAGCAGGCTGTGACTGGGCTCCAGGCCTGTGGGGGACACCTGGTGCAAGGCTGTGGACACTGTCACCAAGGAGCTGCCGCTGCTGGAGGGCACGTCCGCCCCCTCGCTGGTTGTAGGTTGTCCATAGCGCACACCTGGAGGGGAGCAGTGTGCAGCCTCAGCACCCCACTTTCCTGCCCTCCAGGGGCCTCACTGGCTTGCTCAGGCCACTCGCCACATCTTTATGCAGCCTCCTCCCAGGGTCTGTGCTGCCTGCTTCCAACTCCTGAGCACAAGGGCTGCACTGCATCAGCTCCACGGCCCTGCCCAGACTATACTGACATGCAGAAGGTGCTCAACAAAACAACTTCACCAAACTGAACTGCAGCAAATAATTGGAATTAGTTTAATGAAACTGAATCTAGTTGAACCTGAAATACATTGAGCTTGCACTTAATTGAATTGAATCAAATTGATTTGGATTGAATCAAACTGAGCCATACAAACTTAATTTTCCTTGAATTATATTAATTAAACTGAGTTGATTGGCAATTGGATTGGATTAAATGGCACCAAATATACATGAACAAATTGGATTATAATAAACAGATTAGGAGAGAAACCAAGATGGCGGCATAGGTAAATGCCTAACTGCAGCCTCACACAATTAAAAAAAAAAAAAACAACTAAAATACAAAATGGACATTATCCAGAACTACAGGAAAATTGACTGACTGGAAATTCTACAACTAGAAGGAAAGAGAAAAACAGAAGGAAAATCAGAGGAGCTGTAAAAGCCTAAGGTACAGAGACACAGTGTGCGTGTGGGGAGAGGACGGAGTCAGAGAGAAGGGGCGGCTGAGTGCCTGGCTGGCATTCCCTAGCGGGAAGGAGATAAAAGCTCCGGACTGTGTTGAGCCCCAGTTCCAACAGCACTGAACCCCAGTTCTAGGCCAGACCCTGGGGACCCAGGCTCTTACAGAGGGAGTCTGGGCTGTAATGCGGAAACTCAGGTGAGTAGCAAAAGGCAGTCCCGGAGGCGCACACATTACTCACAGAGAATGGAGTGTTGACTGCCGCTGGATTGCCTTAGCGGGAAGGAGACAAAAGCTCCATACTGCTCTGAAGCCCACTTCCAACCGCACTGAACCCGTTCCGGGATGACTGGGGGAGAGCCTAGACTGTTTGGTAGCGGGCAAAACTCGAGGGCACCTTTCTCTCAGAGGTTCTTGCAGTGAGTACCTAAGGACACTGAGGAACACTAAGACTCAAGAACCTCAAAGGGCAGGGCTGACGAGAAGCCAAGGCTGTAGGCTCCACCCTGAAACTCTGCCCCATCCAAGCTGAGCACAGAGGCTTTTTTAATTTTCCAAGTCTAGTCGAATAAGGCTGTCTCCTGGCATAGACAAGCTGATCCTCACAGCCAATTGGCATGGAGGTCAGTTCCTCCCAGTGATACCAACAACAATCAAGACTTAACTACACAGTCCACAAAGGGGTGCTCCAAGGGGTGCACCTCAGGTAACTGGGAGACTGACCCACTGAACCATCTAAGACACCTTAACACACAAAGCCACCCTACAAACTCAGGAAAGCAGCGAAAATGCCGAGACAAGGAAACAGATCACAAACGAAAGAAATGGAGGACAAAAAGCGACCGGATATAGAGTTCAAAACCACGCTTATAAGGTTTTTCAAGAATTTCCTAGAAAAGGCTGATAAAATAAACAAGACCTATGAGGATATGAAAAGGGATCAACTAGAAATAAAGAATACATTGTCTGAAATAAAAAATATTATACAGAGTCCTAAAAAAGGAATGGAAGATCTTAAGAATCAAATCAAAGATTTGGAACTTAAAGAGCCAAAAGACACTCCTCCACAGAAGCAAGAAGACAAGAGAATACAGAAAGTTGAAGATAGTGTAAGAAACCTCTGGGACAACTTCAAGCAAACTATCATCAGAATTATGGGGGTCCCAGTAGAAGAGAGAGAGCAAGATACTGAAAACATATTGGAAGAAATAGTGAAAGAAAACTTCCCTCACCTGGTGAAAGAATTAGACTTACAAGTCCAGGAAGTGCACAGAACCCCAAACAAAAGGAATCCAAAGAGGACCACACCAAGACACATCATAATTAAAATTCCAAGAGCAAAAAAAAAAAATTCCAAGAGCAAAAGACAAAGAGAATATTAAAAGCAGCAAGAGAAAAGCAGGTAGTTACCTATAAAGGAGCGCCCATACGATTGTCAGCTGATTTCTCAACAGAAATCATGCAGGGCAGACGGGAATGGCAAGAAATATTCTAGGTGATGAATAGCAAGAACCTACAGCCAAAAATACTCTTCCCAGAAAAGCGATCACTCAGAATCGAAGGCCAGTTAGAGCTTCACAAATAAAAAAAAGCTAAAGGAGTTCATCACCGCCAAACCAGAATTATATGAATTGCTGAAAGGGGTTCTTTAGGAAGAAGAAGAAAATAAAGATTAAAAATTATGAACAACAAATACGTAACTATCAACAAGTGAATCTAAAAACCAAGGGAATTAAAAAAATCTGATGAACAATATTAACTGTTGAATATAATAGAATCAGAGGTATGGAAGGGGAGTGAACTGACAATTCTCGGGGAAAAGGGGAGTGGGGGGTGTGGGAAGAGACTGAACATAAACTATGCACCTATGGATGAGGAGAGTGGGGGGTGGGGAAAGGCAGAGGGTGGGGTGGGAACCTGGTGGAGGGGAGCAATGGAGGGGGGGAAAATGAGGAACATTTGTAATAATATGAACAATAAAGATTTATTTAATAAAATAAAACTATAATAAACAGAGTAGAATTGACCTGAAATGAATGAGTTGAATTGAACCCAACTCAGAGTGAATGTAGTGGATGGATGACGTGTTGTGGTCAGTGGAGTGGAGAGTAATAGAGTGGATAGAATAGTGTGAATACACTGAGTGGCCAGATTATAATGATCTCTGAACGCATAATTGGCCACTTAGTATATGTATATATATGTCTATATATATGTATGTGTGTGTGTGTGTGTGTGTGTGTGTGTATATATATATATATATACACACACACACACACACATATACATATGTGTATGTGTGTGTGTATGTGTGTATTAGAGGCCCAGTGCATGAATTTGTGCATGGGTGGGGTCCGGCCAGCCTGGCCAGGGGGAGAGGAAATGAGTGTTTGGCCGGCCTGCCCGCTGGTCAAACTCCTGGTAGAGGGGACAATTTGCATATTAGTCTTTTACTATATAGGATAGACACTGAGTGGCCAGATTGTTATGTGTTCAGAGATCATCATCATCTGGCCACTCCGTGCAAAGTGGAGTGGAACCAAACTGACGTGCTGAGAGGTTTGGGTAACTTTTGCCACTGGGGCGGTGCTCCCCAACTCTCCCACCTACCCTCTTTCCCTGCACCCACCGTCCCAACCCCTGTCCGCAGAGCACTCACCGTGGACCTTGCTGGGGGAGAGGGCCGAGGGGGGCAGGCCGGGGGAGCTGTGGGCGGGCAGTGCGGGCCCCGGGCCTGGCCCCTGCGGCGGCCCGCTGTATGTGTCCATGGCCAGCTTGTGCCGAAAGGCTTCTTCCTTGCGCCGATTGGCAAACCAGTTGTAGACACGCACCTCTGTGACAAGGTTGGAGCCCAGCCCCTGTGCCTGTGAGGGCGACACCCCCCTCTGGATGCACTCGGCCCTGCAGAAATAGCCACTGTGAGGCTCCAGGCCAGGCACCAAGGAGCCCTGTCCGGGCCGGGGGTTCTGAGAAGCAGGGCTGTGCCTGAGTGTTTGAGGCTAGCGCCGGGGTGCAGTCCCACATCTGCTCTGAGTGACTTCCCCCTCGGTGTCTCTGATCTTAGAGTGAGCAGAATCACCACCGGCTGGCAGTGAGGATGAATGAGATGCACATCCACTCAAAACTGCTTGGATTGGGGTGTGTGTGTCAGAAATAGAGCTGGGTTTTAGACCCGGAGCCCAAGTTGAGACGGGGGGCCTGGGGGAGGCCCTCCCTCAGGACCCAGAGCCACCCTCCCCTTCCCCAGCCCTGCGCTGCCCAGACCAAACCAGCCCCGCCGCCCGCCGCCTCCTACCTGTTGCACTCCTCCACCAGGGCCTCCCGCTCCTCCTTGCTGGGGTTCTTCTGCCTCTCGTAGGCCTGGAAGAGGATCTGCTGGGACGCTGGGCCCCATTTGAAACGGTTTCTCCGTCCCTTCTTGGTCGGCAGCTCATCTCCCGTGGGCTCCTCCATCAGCCCCCCCTGCCCGGCGTGGGTGAACTCTGCAGACACGGGCAGCTGTGAGCGGAGCACCAGCCCCTCCCGCCTTCCCCGCCTCAGCTGCTGGCCACACTCCTGAAGCTTTCTCATTCCCAGGGGCCCAGTCAGAGCAGCTTACAGCTGGAGCTTGGCAATCCCCTAATCCAGTGAGGACAGACACACAGCACACGCGCCTCCATGTTCCTAACCGTGTCCAAGGCAGGCATCACTAATCAACCCCTGCACACTTTTCTACTGAGCCAAGCTCTGCTCTCACCAGGCAACATCAGCATTTGTCCCCTTTTGACACATATGCCATCCCATTTCACAGGTGAAGGTCAGGGAGCTAAATATTTCTCTAATGTCGCACAGAGTAGAAAATGGAAGCATGTCTCCTTGAGTAGATTCAGATCTATGTTCAACATTCCAGACGGGGATGCATTCTAAAGCCCAAAGTGCATTGTTCGCCAGCAGAGAAAAGACCCAGCAGCGTATCCCTGAGCAGGCCGCCAGGGGCATGGCTCCGACAGCTGCTGGGCATTTTATGAACGGGAGGAAGGGAGGTTCCTGTGGGTATGGCCAGCGTGTGCCTAAAATTACTCCAGAGGGGGTTTGCAAGGCTGCGACTGCTTTAGGTCAAGGGCATCTAACTTTCATTGTAAAGTCTTTCTCACATTTTTTCTTCTTAACTAAGTGTGCATTGTCTTTTATTTTTATTTTTTAAAATCTATTTTATTTTTTACAGAGAGGAAGAGAAAGGGATAGAGAGTTAGAAACATCCATGAAAGAGAAACATCGACCAGCTGCCTCTTGCACACCCCCTACTGGGGATGTGCCCGAACCAAGGTACATGCCCTTGACCGGAATCAAGGGACCTTTCAGTCTACAGGCCGACGCTCTATCCACTGAGCCAAACCAGTTAGGGCTGTGCATTGTCTTTTAAAAAGCTGGATGATTGCCCTAGCTGGTTTGGCTCAGTGGATAGAGCGTTGGCCTGTGGACTGAAGGGTCCCAGGTTTGATTCCGGCCAAGGGCACATGCTGGGTTGCAGGTTTGATTCCCAGTAAGGGGGCGTGCGGGAGAAAGCCATCAATGATTCTCTCTCATCATTGATGTTTCTATCTCCCCCTCTCCCTTCCTCTCTAAAAACTAAAAGATATATATTTTAAAAAGCTGGATAATTAATGAAAAGAAATAGTAGAAATTACTTTACACATAGACAGGCTCAAACGTGTGAACGTGCACTTGGGACCTGGTGGGGGAGGAGGCCTGACTGAGGAGGTCCACCCTCCCTGAATTGGAGTGCGCCCAGGTCTTCCCAGGTTTGCAAGGGAGGATTCCCTGAGCACCTGCCTCGCCTCTGAGCCTTTACTCATGCTGTTCCTTCTGCCCGGAACACCCTTCCCTAATCTCCATGCGTCAAAATTCAACCCGCACGTTAAGACCGAGTCTGAAGGCCACACGGCTGGTGTGAACCCGCCTGTGCCCTGCCCCTCTCCCCTGCCGCCAGCTCCACACGTGGAAATAGACTTTGGCAGCACTGCCCCGGCCAGTGCTATGAGCTTCGGGGGCCATGAGTACAGCTCCGGCTGCTCTCCTGTGCTTCAGAACACGTCTCCCCGTACGTATCACACGGTCTCTCCCTCCCGCCAGCAGCTCCGGAAGGCAGGGCCCCGCTTATCCATCATGGACGCCCAGGACCAGCCCCGCTTCCCTCCCCCACAGTGCCTTGTGCAGAATAAAATAAGCTGGAGGGTCCCGCTGATCCTCCTGAGCTGCGGTCTGAGAAACGGGGTGGGAAGCCGCCCCCTCCCCCCGCCCCCCTCGAGCTGCGGGGAGCCCGCCTGCGGAAGGACGGGCTGCGGTGTTACTTACGCTGGGCCACCTCTCGCTGCTTGCGGACGTACCAGGTGTACAGGGCGGCGCGCTTCTGCGTCTTCATGGGGGTGCCCTTGTTGAGGTGCTGCGACAGGTGCGACTGGTTGAGGCCGGTGGTGTCCACCACCTCGCGCTGCGGGATGTTGTGCTGCTGCAGGTAGGACTTCACCATCTTGGCCACGCGCCACGGGTCCTCCCTGGGCAGGACAAGAGCAGGGCCTGCTCAGTGGGAGTGGGGGACCCTGCAGGCAGGGCTGGGGGCCCGGGTGCGAGGATCCCTGCCCACACTGGGGGTGGGATGTGAATGAAAGCAGCCCCTGACTCAGGTATGATTCACGCCAGGACACAGGGACCTCACACAGATGGGGGAAGGGACATGCAACGCGCAGCCACGGGAGAAACATGTCACAGGCCCAGCCAGCCCCGCAGACACAGAGCAGGTGCCAGTTTAGAAACGGTGACAGACACACGGCCACGGACATGTGGACAGGCTCCCCTGGGCGCCCGGCCTGATGGGGAGGGCCTCACCGGTGAGCCTCCTCTGCAGAGCCCTCTCCCACTGGCACTGCGTTTGTGGCTGTGCCTTGTCCACAGAGACTGTCAGCGCCGTCCGACATTCATTCCCACAGCCTGGCATCCATTCCGCCCTCGGGGAATGCATGAACTCACCACGAATGAGTGGATGGGTGGGTGGGTGGGTGGGTGGGTGGATGGTTGGGTGGGTAGGGGGATGGATCGGTGGATGAGTGAGACCAACTAGGGGGAAAATTAGGTCTGAAAACAAGGAGAGAAATGGGATTCTCTCATTTACGGTCCGGGCCACCAGGCTAAGGGCACTTGTGTCACTTGCATCTCTTTTTAAAAAATATATATTTTTTATTGATTTTCCACAGAGAGGAAGGGAGAGGGATAGAGAGCTAGAAACGTTGATGAGAGAAACATCGATCAGCTGCCTCCTGCATACCCCCCACTGGGGATGTGCCTGCAACCAAGGTACATGCCCTTGACCAGAATCGAACCTGGGACCCTTCAGTCCGCAGGCCGACGCTCTATCCACTGAGCCACACCGGTTTCAGCTCACTTGCATCTCTTGCCCAAGGTCACGGGCAGCCCAGCAGTGAGGCTACCGGAAACATCACAGAGGAATGTGCCTCCTGTAACCTGCACCACCCCAGGCGGGGCGGCGGGGCCCCCACACCCGGGCAGCGCTGGGTCTCCGAGCCTCAGGTGCAGGGGCGGGGCCAGAGGTGGAGGACTTGTCAGGAAAACGTGATGTCTGGGCGCCAGGTCCTCCTCCCGGGGCTGAGATTCTCTCCCGGGAGATGGGACCTGAGGCCCCTGTGGGCCGTGTTCCCGCCCCCTGGTCACTGTGGAACGGACGGGCCAGAGGCCTCACTGTGTTCTCTCCCTGCCCCGCTCCGGCCAGCCGGCCCTCCCTGTCCCAGGCCTCTCTTCCAGATGCGGGTCAGAGGAGGGCAGCCCGACCCCGAGCCCAGACGGACTGGGATTGGAACCCCGGCCGCCGGGGCCCAGAGCCCAGGGCTCACGCCCTCGCTCAGCAGTTTGTTCTAGAACCGGAGGCTGCGGTGTGTGCACATGTGGCAAATGGCCTGTGTAGGAGGCGATTCGGCACCACGTGGCCCAAAGATTGGAACCACCAAAGAGGGCGCTGGTTAACGAAGTGCGGGCCTCCGGGCGGTGCCGCCGCGGAACATTAACCTGGGGAGAGAAATGTCTACACATTTGTGTGTGCAGGGCACGGCGAAGGTCACAGGAACTGGGACCCAGTGCCTCGGGGGACGTGCTGAGGACGGGGAGGGGGCAGTTTCTTTCCTGCTCCACGCTTTTAGAATTATGTAACATGTTATATAACGCCCAGCACATGCATATGTGCTATCTAAAACCGAATTCTAAAAGAGGAAACGCAAACACCCCCTGCTCTGAAGCTCACCACTGCCTGTCCCCAGCCCTTCTCGCCGTCCTCAGAGGCCCAGCCCGCCTGTCCCCGGCAATGCCCTCTGCATGCGGGCACGCAGAGCCTCCATCAGCGCTGGCTCCGGCCCAGCACCCACAGGCGGAGGCCGGAGGGACAGCTGGCCGGGGGCTGGTCGCAGCGTCCGTCTGGGTGAACCGCAGCCGTGAGCCCAGTGCTTCCGAGTCTGTGCTGTGAGCTCGGCCTGGGCGGGCGCCGGCCATCTAAATCTGACAGCTGCCTTAGGGCCGGGGTCGGCAAACTGCGGCTCAAGAGCCACACGCGGCTTTTTGGCCCCTTGAGTGTGGCTCTTCCACAAAATACCACGGCCTGGGCGAGTCTATTTTGAAGAAGTGGTGTTGGAAGAAGTTTAAGTTTAAAAATTCGTCTCTCAAAAGAAATTTCAGTCGCTGTGCTGTTGATATTTGGCTCTGTGGACTGATGGGTTTGCCGACCACTGCCTTAGGAAGTCAGTACTACTCACACGTCCACCTTACGGGTGAGGAAACGAGGCTCAGACAGGTGAGCTCACTGGTCAAAGGGACTGGGGAGTATTTCACTTTGGCCCTAGCTGGTTTGGCTCAATGGACAGAGCATCGGCCTGCAGACTGGGGGGGCGGGGAGGTCCCAGATTCTATCCCGCCCAAGGGCACGTACCCGGGTTGTGAGCTCAATCCCCAGAGGGGGCCATGCAAGAGGCAGCCGATCAATGATTCTCTCTTATCGTTGATGTTTCTATCTCTCTATCCCTCCCCCTTCCTCTCTGAAATCAATAAAGAAATATATATAAAAAAATAAAGAATATTTCACTTCGCCCAGACCCCCCAGGCTCTCCGCCAGCTCCTCCCTCCTGCTCCCGGGCTCCCAGGAGCCTCCCTGTCCCCCTCCCCCCTCCGGTGCCAGGCACACCAGGAGGGCGGAGTGCAAAGTCCAGCCTGTGCTCCACGGCAAACACGCTTATCTGATCCCGGAGCTGGGCTGCTGGTGGCCTCCCGCCTCCCCCACTGCAGCCATCACCCCCCTGAGCAACCCTCCCCCTCCTTCCCTTCCCCCTTCCTCCCTCCCCTCTTCCTGTCTTCTCCAGAATGAGCTTAGTCTTGCTCTCAACAAGGCCTCTCCTGGCTCAACTGAAAGATTAACTGTCACTGCCCTGTGTGTGTGTTATGTCTGTCTATCTGTCTCTCCCTCCCAGTCTCTCTCCCTCTCCTGTCTCCATGTCTCTCTGTTGTTCTGTTTCCTCCCCATCCCCCCCCCCCACCGAACACCCCCCCCACATACACACACACTCCATACACTCAGTCTCCAAGGATGTGACTCTTCAGGACAGTTTCTCTAACTCAGAACTAAGGGGCCAGGCTCCAGGCACCCCACTGCCACCCTCGCAGGCTCCAGCGTTAATCCGGCCCAGGCACCCCACTGCCACCCTCGCAGGCTCCAGCGTTAGGCCGCCCCTCGCCCCTGCGGGTGCACGCCCACGCCGCCAACGCGCAGACCCGCCCGCCTCGGCCCGGGAGAGCGGACCGGTCTCCAGGAGGAGTGGACGCTCCCAGGGCTGGCACGCAGGGAGCGCCCAGTGAGCGGCGGGCATTGTGACGAGCATCGTCCTGCAGCCGGGACCCAGCCCCGGGGTCTCAGGGCGGCCAGCGGAGGCCACCCTGCAGGCCCGGTGTGGAGGGAGCGGAGTCCCCACGCCGGCCTGCGATCTCAGCTGTGCCTGTTCTCCCAGGGCCTGGGGCAGTCGCTTTGTGCTGTCCTGTGCCTCAGTTTCCTCATCTGTGATACGGCGCTCACAGTAAATATCTCGCAGGAGGAGGAGAGGAGTCACACGTCCCTAAGCCCCTCTGTCTCTGAGGAGTGCGTGGAAGTGAGTGATGGTGAAGCTGAACAGCCAGAGGCCTAGGGCGGGTGAGGAGGGAGATAAAACGTATCACGGGAGGGTGCTGTGCAGAGCGTGTGGCTGGGAGGACCTGGGTCCAAGTCCTGGCTGCTTTGCAAGACCTTGGCAAGTCCCTTAGCCTCTCTGCGCCTTCTCTTGCTCACCTGTCAAACGGGACCACTCCCATGGCCACCGTCCGTTACCGTGTATGCGCACCCATGTTATCATGTAAAACGGGTCCATCGCCACGTATGCACACCCATGTTATCATGCCACCTCCACTTGCAGAGGAAACTGGAGCTCGGAAAAGGGAAATGACCTGCCTGCGCTCGAGTTGGGGGGCTGGGATTCGAACCCAGGCAGGCTGGCCTCAGTCAGGGACATCCCCCGTGGCCACTGAACTCCTGGGTCCCAGTGCGTCGGCACTGCCCAGTGGAGAGGATAGTCCTTCCAGGCTGAGGTGTGAGCTGTTCAGGGACAGGAGGACCAGGAGGACACCCAGGCAGGAGCCCCCGGACCAGGCTCCCCCCGCGGCCAGAGCAGCAGGTGCCCCAGGGCCTCAGAATCCTGGCCACTCGTCCATTCGCGCTGCGTGGGCTGGACAGGAAGGGAGAGAGAGCTGAACGAGGCACAGAACCTGCCCTTGAAGAGCTTCTGTTTTCATGGCAGAAGACAGAAAACCAAGGAATGGTAAGGGCCAGGAGAAAGTAAAGGAAGGTGGTTGGAGAGTGACTGGGACAGTCAGGGAGGGCCTCCCTGAGGAGGTGACACTTCAGCAAAAGGCCGGGAAGGAAATGGCCATGGGAAGAGCTGGACAGAGGGTTCCAGGCAGACAGAGCAGCGTGTGCACAGGCCCTGAGGTGGGAGCCAGCAGAGTGAGCGTAACTGGAGGAAGGTGGGTGGGGGGAGGCAGTCCCTCGGAAAGAGGTCAGGAGTCAGGGCCCGGAGTTTGAATTCCAGTCAGTGTCCAGGCAGGGCCAGGAAGAGACTTGCCCAAGGTCACCCAGGGAGCTGAGGGTGGAGATGTGCGGTGGCCTCAAGCACAGGGCACCTGGGAGACCTGGGCCAGGACCCACCTGTCTCTTCCCACCACTGTCTCCCCAGAGAGCGACTTCCACCGGAGTCCTCCACCCAGGCTTCCTCTGGGTCCCCCAGCCCTCTCTGCCCACTGAGACCACAGGCCCCACTCTGTCCCCTAAGGGTGGCTTCAGGCCCTTTGTTACCTGAACAATAAGTAACCCGGTAGTTAGTTATAAACTCCGCAGGAACAAGGAGCTGGTTGATAATTTATAGCAACATCTCAAATTTAAATGGAAAGTAAATAGCATGCTGTTAGCATTAAAGAAAACCCAATCTGGGCGGCAGGGAGCACTCCAGCCTGGGCTCAGCTTGGGGTGCCTCACTCTCCCGGCCCCTTTCCTCCACTCCTCTGCGCAGCTGGCTTCCCCAGGTCTCCCCATCCTCCCTGGGTCCTCTCCCGTCTCCTCTTTCTCAGCGCCCCCTCTGGCCCTCAGCCTCCAGGCCTCGGCTGGTCCCAGGGAGCACTTTGACCCCTGCTCCCCCCTCAAGTGCCGTGGATCAAGCCTCCCCCACCCACCACCCACCAAAGGACTGCTGAGCAAGAGGCCCCGCCCAGCCAGGTAAGAAGGCCCTTGGCACCCCGTCTCCCACTCCTGCCCGAAAGCCCCCATTCCCATGGGGGTCCTGGCAGGTCTGGCCCAGCCCCGGCCCCAGCCCCAGCCCCAGCCCAGCTGCCCTCACCCTGGGCCGGCCCTGCCTGACCCTTTGCCCCTCCCCTGCAGCCCAGCAGGGCCCTTTGCCCTCCACTTCCTGCCAAGTCAGGGGGCTCTGTGCCCCCCTGCCCCCCATCCCGGTCCTCACCCCTGAGGCCTCCCAGGCGGGGCGAGCCCTCCCCCACTCTGAACTGGGATCAGGACCTTGGACAGGAGGGAAATGGCTCCTGGAGAGTGTCTTGCGACTCTTCCCCAGAACCCCTCCTCACCCGGCTGGCCGGCCCCCAGGCTGGGGATTGAGAGGACTTGACAGTGTGAGGTCCCGCTGGGTGGCCTTAATCAAGCTGCTCCCCTTCTCTGGCCTCAGTTTCCTCATCTGAGAAGCAGACTTACCCTTCGCTTCCTCCCAGATTGCATCTCAGCATTAGCCCAGCCTCAGGGTGAGCCCTCAGCGCGCCCAGCTCTTAGGATGGGGGCTGCGGGGCCTTCGGGAAGGGGGCGTCCTCACAGCCCCTGCCCCCCACCACCACCCCCACCCCGCGCTCCCATCCCCCACCCCGCTGGGTGGGAGGTTCATTGGCCCGGGCCTTCCCAGGCCGCCATCCCTACAAGTTAATGATCACAGGCCTTATCAGAGCCTTTCGCCGTTTATAAATTTATAAAACAAAAGAGAAATAATAAAGCCTGTGGGTAATAAGTAACCAAGTTCGCTCTGCTGAGGAGAGGGGAGGCCTCGGCTCAGACCCGCTCGGTGCTCTGGGAGCCGGGGAGCCGGTGGGGGGGCACAGGGCGGGAGGCCCCGGATGGCGCCTGCGGTGAGGCTGGGCCTGAGGCTGAGCTGGAGGACACAGCCCCTGCCTGGAGGCTGCCTCTCCCTCAGGTAAGAGACCGGGCTGACTGCGCCTCCCCAGCGACCAGGCCCCAAAGCCCCGAGCTGCCCTCCCATCGGAGCTGGCCGTCCGAGTGCTGCCCGGAGGTCAGGCCTGGGGCATGGACAGAGCGGGTGGCTGAGTCCCACGGCCCCTCTTCTCGGGCCCAAGAGGCCTGTGACCTGCTCCCCCTGGCTCCCTGGGCCCGGCTTCCCCAGTCCCGGCTGACGGCGGCTCCTGGGGAGGCGGCTCCCGGAGGCCTGAGCTCCGGGCCCCTTCCCCACCCCTGGCTACGGCCTGGGGCCGGGGCCGGGGCCGGGGCCGGGGCCGGGGCCGGGGGAGGTGGTGGAGGGCAGGGGTGTCTTACTGCAGCAGGCTCTCCACCACGGCCTTCTGGTGGGCCGCCTCCTCGGGGCTGAGGCTCTCCAGCTCCTTGAGGATGGGCGGCGTGAAGGCCTCGCCGTCGTCGTCCGTCTCGTCCTCGGAGCCCCGCGCCGCCCCCAGCCCGTTGGGCAGCGCGGCCAGCTCCCCGCGGCCGCCGGCCTCCGCCTTGCCCAGCGCGCCGTCCCCGGCCAGCGGGTAGGGCCCCGGCTCGCCCAGGGCCTGCAGCAGCGCCTGCTTGCTGAGGCCGGACTCCAGCAGGGCGGCCAGCAGCTCGGCCTGCAGCTGGCTCAGCTTGGCCACCATGGCTCCGCCGCCCGGCCACGCGGCCGGCCTCCCGCGCCTGGCCGTCCGCCCGCCCGCCCGTGAGCCGGCGGCGGGGGCACCGCGCTCCTGGCGCCCCGGCCCCGAGCCCACTCCCGAGCCCGCGGTGCCCCCGGCCCCCGGCCCGGCCTGCGCGGTGAAGCAGCCCTGCCCGCTGTTTACATTGGGCCGGGGGAATTCTCCAGGTTCATATTTATCCGAGGCCTCGCGGGGACTGAACTTTGGACTTCACCCTGCAGCGCAGCCCAAGCCGCCCGCCGGGCCCGCCGCGGCCCGAGCGGGCAGAGCGGGTGGGGGAGGCGGCGGCCGGAGCCGGGGGGGGGCAGCCGGGGCCCAGAGGCCGCGCTGAGCGGCATCGCCCCCCCCCCCCCCCCCCAGCCTGCTTGTAGGGGTCAGGCTGAGGCAGGAACGCAAAGCAGCAGGCTTCTCTTGGAGACAGAAGCAGCAGGGAGTGTTAGCAGGTGGGCCAGCTCTCCCCAACGGCAGGGCCAGGCCACAGCCGTGTTGGACGTACCCCCCCCCCCCCCCCCCCGGCCTGACCCAGGCCTCCCGGTGGGAAAAGCTGGACTTCAGTCTCCCGCGTCTCAGGGCGGGGCCAGGCTGTAACCCCGCCATCGCCTCGCTGCACCCCCAGGAGCCGTGAGCGGGCACAGGAGTCACCCCCATTCCACAGAGGGAAACTGAGGCTCGGGCTCTGAGAGGTAAGCAGCTACGAGGGACGAGACTTTCGGGTGGAACAGGATGAAGCCAGTCGGACACTTGACTCAGGCGCATATTTTAAAGGGGAACCAAAAAAATTCAGTAATCAAGAAAAATAATAGTTTTTCACAATGTACTTAAAAGTTGAAATGAATGCAAAACCGAAAAGCACTAAAAACATGGGTCCACACAACTTGAACGTGAATGTCCATAGCAGCACTATTCCCAGTGGGGAACATAGACTCCATGCCTGTGTAAGGGGGTGAATAAAACGGGTCCCTCCATGCACTGGTATGTCATTGGCCAATTGAAAAGGAAGGAAGTGCCCATACAACGTGGTGGCCCTGAAGACGTGGTGTGAGCGAGGGAAGCCGGCAAAAGGCTGCATCTCGTGTGATTCCATTCGTATGACCTGTCCCCACAGGCGGGGGGAAGGCCGGTGCAGGCCGGAGACAGGAAACAGGGAGTAGCCCTTAATAGGCAAGAGATTCCCTTGGCGATGATGGAAATGTTCTAACCCAGTGGTCGGCAAACGCATTAGTCAACAGCCAAATAGCAACAGGACAAGGGAGCCAAATTTTTTAAACTTAAACTCCTTCTAACGCCACTTCTTCAAAATAGACTCGCCCAGGCCGTGGTGTTTTGTGGAAGAGCCACACTCAAGGGGCCAAAGAGCTGCATGTGGCTCGCGAGCCGCAGTTTGCCGACCACGGGTCTAAGATTGACTGGATGATGGCACACAACTCTGAACTGTGTGCTCTAGAGGGGTGAGCTGTATGACACATAACACAATAAGATAAACTTTTAATTAACGCCAAACATCTGCAATGAACAAAAGAGCAACATTTTATTTTATTTATTTTTTAAAAATAAATCTTTATTGTTCATATTATTACAAAAGTTCCTCATATTTCCCCCCCTCCATCAGGTTCCCACCCCACCTCTGCCCTTTCCCCACCCCCCATTGTCCTCATCCATAGGTGCACAGTTTATGTTCAGTCTCTTCCCGCATCCCCCTCTCTCCTTTTCCCCGAGAATCGTCATTCCACTCCCCTTCCATACCTCTGACTCTAAAAATAGCAATATTTTAAATAAAGACTTTTCCTCCTCTCCCCCAAGCCCCAGCCCTTAGCAGAAACTCACCCTCACACCCGCACCCCTCTCTCCTCCTCCGGGAAAGCCCAGACAGAACCTGCAGCGTGTCCAGTGGCCGAGCTCAGAACAGGGCCTTTGCTGCCTGGCCTCGGAGGAGGCAGAAGGTGCCATTGGCCCTGCCACAGGTGAGGTCAGAGGTCGGGGGGTGGGGGGTTAAAGGTGATACTAGAGCTGTCTCCCTCAGTCTGGCCACTTGCACACCTGGTGCCCCTGTCACCCAACTACCGCGCTGCCCACCCAGGAGCACGGCCACCTGAGGCCACTGAGCCTGGGAAGGTGGCTGAGCCACTGGCTGACATGGTAACAGTTTGGCTCTATTAGGGGAAATTTTACATTTTAAACCATTTTAACATTACACATGAGAAAGGTGAATTTCGCCTGTTTCTTTTTACTTCTGGCGGTTTACTTTACACGCTTTACTCCCCAAAGATTTAAAGTTACCAGGTGGCTCCCAGCACCTCCTGGGGGACAGCGTGCTGGCGACTCACGTGTCCCATCGGTGATCACGGCCGTCCTCTGCGAGAGGAGGCCGGGGCAGGGCCCTCCAGGCCCGGACGAGGCCTCGCCCACATAGCAGGTGCCCTGACCAGTGTGGCTCAGTGGATAGAGCATCAGCCTGGGGACTGAGGGGTCCCAGGTTCGATTTCGGTCAAGGGCATGTACCTTGGATGCATACATCCAAGTGGAGAGTGTGCAGGAGGCAGCTGATCGATGTTTCTCTCTAAACCTCTCCCTTCCTCTCTGTAAAAAAATCAATAAAATACATTTTTTTAAAAAAAAGAAATGCTTGTTGGGTGACTTACAACGTTGTCGCTGAGTGCCCCCCTGTTCGCTGTGCGCTAAGCCTTCGTCCCTCAGGCCGTTAGGGAGCCGGTGGTGTGATTCTCCCCGTTCTGCGGAGGGAGAGCAGGCTCAGGGGCCTGAGTGGCCGCTCACTACCCCACCCCCCAGTCTGACGGCGGGGGTGACCATGGAGGAGAGGAGATGGAGGAGAGGAGGGCCCCATCTTCCCTCCACTGCCTTCTCCCCGCAGTGCAAGCAGCTTTGGGGGCAGACAGCTCGCTCCCAGGACTGCTGCTCCGGCCCGGCAGGGCGGGTGGTGTGTGCCATCCTTCCCTGGCCCCTGGGTCCCCAGCTTGGCGTGTCCTGCCCGGAGGCTGCCCCTGGGCCCTTCGCCTCGGGGGGCGGGAAGGGTGGGCTCAGTGACTCCTGCAGCCGGCGGCCAGCCCTGCGGGGACCGGACCGAGGCGGGTTGGCTGAGGGGCCGGCAGTGGGGCGGGGAGAGCCTCCGGGAGCTGGAGGGGGAGCGGACACACGCAGGCTGCGGTCCGGCCTGGATCCGGCTGGCACTGAACGAGGGAACCTCAGGAGCCCGCCCTGCTTCTCCGAACATGAGGCACAAACACCATGAGGCACAGGCTCCAGCCCCCAGCCTGCCCTCCCCTCAGTCGGGACAAATCCGAATGGACTGGAGGGGGGGTGGCAGTTTGCCTTTGAGAGTCACACAGACCCAGTTGGAACAGTTTGAATTTCATTGCCCCCCCCCCCACCTCTGGGGACACTGGGTGGGCTCGGGTATGAGTTAATCTTTTTGACTCACCTGGGAAACAGGAGGGATCTCTTGGACTTGCTTAGGACAACTTGAAGTTGTAAAGAGCATCCTGCAGAGACCCAGGCTTTCTGGTTCAAGGTGACTTCCATGACTCAGTAGTTTTTTCAGCTGCCAGCATTAAGCATCTCCTTTCACACACACACACACACACACACTCCAAAAAATAAAACACCTGCCGAAACCGGTGTGGCCAGTGGATAGAGCGTCATCTGCAGACTGAGGGATCCCAGGTTCGATTCCAGTCAAGGTCATGTACATTGGTTGTGGGCACATCTCCAGTGGGGGGGGGGGGGGTGCAGGAGGCGGCTGGTCGATGTTTCTCTCTCATCAATGTTTCTAACTCTCTATCCCTCTTTCTTCCTCTCTGTAAAAAAATCAATAAAATATATTAAAAAAATATAAAACACATAACAGTTATATTTAGTAAATAGTTAGGTCAAAACAACTAATAAGTATGTGTGGCCCAACAACTTAGTAGCTGCTTGAAAAATGCACTAAGATTGAAAGGAAAAATAATATTTTAGTTCCCTTTTTTAGTTGATTTTAGAGAAAGAGAGGGAGTAGAATGGAGGGAGGAAGGGAGGGAGAGAGAGAGAGAGAGAAAAGGAGAGAGAGAGAGAGAGAAAGGGAGAGAGAGAGAGAGAGAGAGAGAGAGAGAGAGAGAGAGAGAGAAACATCTATTTGCTGTCCACTTGTTGATGCATTCATTGGTTGCTTTTTGTATGTGCCCTGACCCGGGACTGAACTCACAACCTTGGTGTCTCAGGACCAGCTGAGCGGCCCAGCCAGGGAATTCCTTCTTAAAAATCATAAATACTAATGGGATGAGTAGGCTCTAGGCAGCTGCTCAGACCTTGGAATTCGATTGGGCGTCACCACCTTGTTCACTGTCCACACTATTTTTGCAAGATACTTGGTTTTTATCAGAACTGCCATAACCCATTTTCACAAAGTCGTGACATCATTCTACAGATGCCACTGCGTCTGACATTCAGACTGCAAGCTACGTACCTTGAGCCGATAGTTTCCAACCTGGCCGACAGGTGTCGCTGCGTTCCGTTCAAAAACCCTCCCTGCCCGGCCTTCACAGCTCAGGGCTCAGCGGTTGAGCGTCGGTTGACCTATGAACCATGAGGTCATGGTTCAATTCCCAGTCAGGGCACAAGCCCGGATGGTGGGCTAGATCTGCAGAGTGGGAGTCAATCAGGAGGCATTTGAGACCATGCTTCCCAACGATTGTCATCAGTTTAGCGCAAATAAAAATTAGTTTGAAACAAAGATTTTCTAAATCGATTTGAGAGAGGGAGGCGGGGAGATAGCGATTTGTTGTTCAACTCATCCCTGCATTCATTGGTTGCGTCTTGGATATGCCCTGACACCCAAGATTCTCTATTATCATTGATGCTTCTCTCTCTCTTCCTCTCTGAATTCAATTAAAAATAAAAACAGCCCTAACTGGTGTGGCTCAGTGGCTAGAGCATTAGCCTGTGGACTGAAGGGTCCCTGGTTCATTTCCAGTCAAAGGCATGTGCCTGGGTTGCAGGCTCAGTCCCCAGTGGGGGGCATGCAAGAGGCAGCCAATCAATGATTCTCTCTCATCATTGATGTTTCTATGCCAAACCTGTAAGGAATTTTTATAAGAATTCTTTTGGACCTTGCTAGATAGCTCAGTTGGCTAGAGCAGTGGTCGGCAAACTCATTAGTCAACAGAACCAAATATCAACAGTACAAAGATTGACATTTCTTTTGAGAGACTAATTTTTTAAGCT